CGTAATTACCGATACGGTTGTCGGTTTCCCGCTCTTTCTCGACAAGCTTAGCAGACAACTGATTGAGTAATGTTTCTCTGAAATGTAGATTTTCATTGAAGCTATCAAGGTTTAAACTTTCCCTTGTGCACATTATGAATGTAAGAACTTGCCATAAGATTATCAATCACGGAACCACAGCTCACAAAGAATGTTTTTTTTCAACCCTGCGACATTGAAGGGCAAATTTGATTTTCATGAGATTTCAGTGACACACTTGAAAGATAGAAAAAGAGAAGAATGAGCGACTTGATTTATTATTGAACTATAATTAATTTCAATCGTATACTTTCGTCTTCTCAAATTCTCGTAATCTTTACCTTTCAATCTGTAACTTTTCCTTGATTTTGGTTCGGCATAGGAAATTTTTATACTTTTCCAATTCTGCTGTCATCTGAAATCAGCCGCTGTAAGTTATGTTTGCATTTCTTAAACTCAATCAAATAGCAGTGAAAGCGAGCTAACCTGGTGACTTTCAAGCTTATTTGGTTGCAGCCGGCTTTTCAGCACCGGTATTGTGCGTTCAATGATAGGATCCAAGGCCTTTTCAGCCATCTAAATCATAATTCCATAGTTGTTTTACGAAATATCAAGTGTAAACATCCTTACCGCCACTCTTGAATTCCATACATGCTCTGTGAGTGGATTGTAGTCAAGTACTGCAGTATTTCTCAATGCCGCTTCGATTGTTGTTTCTACTTCGCTTTGAACTCCTCGTTCATTTAGCAAAAGAGCTATTTGTGGCCCAAGTTGTTTTAGTGAACGCACCTAAAGCTAGGGGTTTTATCATGCGCAAATTACCAAGAAATGCACAACTTTTTAGTGGCAAATTGAACTTTTAGGAATTTCGCTTTCGAACCTCTTCAAGTCTTTTCTTGAATCCCTGCAAATATTTCATATCCACTGCTTCACCCTGCCAAGCTCCATCTATTTGCCGTTTCCAAGTCTGTCCAGTCATAAGCTGTACCGAAAGCTCCCACTGACTACATGCTGCTATTGCTGAAATTGGCCCTTCTGTTCCACTAGTAACATTCATCCTTCATTTCCTTCTCAAAAATTAAAATTCGT